AAAAAAAAAAAAAAAAAAAATCACAAAAACTAAAGGACACTGGAGACTATAGTATAGGTACACCCCCAGCCCCAAAAAACGTAATCCCGAAAGCCCTCAGAAGACTTCTGTCTTCTGCCGAAACTCTCAATCCTAGAGACCTCGAGCCTTTGAGGTTTAGGGTTCCCCTAAATCTTAAAACCCAAACCCTAAACCTTACGCCCTACAGTATAAAGCCTTGAGAAGGCTTATGGTTCATGGTTATGAGTTCTGATCTGCAAAGGTGTGGGAGGGGGTTTAGGGTGTGGGGGTTTAGGGTGTAGGATTGAGGGTGTAGAATTTAGGCTTTATGGCACAGATTCTTTAGAGCCGGGATTTCGACCGCTTGGATTTAGCTTCTGGTTCTTGAAGCATTTTTGACGGTAGGGCCTCTAGGGTATTCAGGATAGTGGCTTAGGGTTAAGGGTTAAAGGTTAAATTGCAACGGTTTGACGATCCAGAGTATAGTATAGGATATAAACCCTAAGCCCTAAGCTGTCGGAGTTGGACCAGATCCCCCAACACGCAAGCCATGACTGAAACTGAAACCGATCCTACGAGGGTTTCTTTGGAGGGTTCCCGTAAAGGTTCCTCATGATTTCCTTTCAGGGGTCCTCATGGGTTCGGGAGGAATACGAGGTGTAGTGATTGTTTTTATTCCGGTTTTGCTGTATGGTAAGATGTTGGCACACGTGGTGCTGTGCAGCCGTCCTGCCTCGTGCATCGTTCTCGCAGGCTGGCAGTCATCACCAAGTTTGACATTCAGTGGGAGCAGCCCATGGCTGGTGTCATGAACATGCTTCTCTTCTCTGTACAAGTGGTTCTAATTCTTGTGCCGAGTTGCACTGCAGGATGAACAAACGCAGTATGCACGTGAAGCCTTCGGAATGCGGGTTCGGAGAGCTGTAGGACATTATATCGTTATACCTATTATATCATCCGCTCGAAAAGTGCGCTACATCTGACGCTGGATTGAACTCGGATCATACTCGGAAACAGACAACAATAACCCAAAGCTTGACACCCATGCGCCCTTGGCAATTCTGGAAAGCTTGGATGTGCGCAGTTAGGGAATATTGCGCAAAGCCTTTTTTCAGGTAACACCCTAAACCCCAAACCCCTAAACCCCAAACCCTGAACCCAGCCTTTTCTGGTAGGTTCTCATTCATGACCCTCGACTTGGACGCGCTGTCCTTCTCATGCGTAGCTCCTGCGTCGCCGGTTGGCAAGTATGCTCTGACCACACTGGCAACGCCGCTGCTTGCAGTGGTGGCCGGATTCATTCATTTGCGCCTCCGCTGCCATTTCTTGCGGCAATAACAGGGTAGGAATTAATGGTCTAACCATTTATAGCAGTCCCTTGGGCTGCTTAGCATAATCTGAGAGTACCAAATATGCTCCAAGATCCTTTTCTAATCCTTAATATAGGGGCCTCAATAATTACCTACATGATTTTGGGGGTTCCGACCTTATTATATTTATACTATACATGACCTCGAAACCCCATTCTAATTATTAAGGCCCCTACATTATAAGGCCTCTACATTACACCCTGGATCCCCCAAGCCGAAAAAACCCTGGATCCCCCAAGCCTTGTACTTAATCGCACCTAAAAGCCAGAAGTCTCCCCGAACCCTAAACCCCAAACCCTAGAAACCACCTAAAGCCTAAGCTCCGAACCCTAATCCCAAACCCTATAAACCCCCTAAACCCTAAGCTCTGAACCCTAAACCCTAACCCCAAACCCTATAAACCCCCTGAGCCCGAAGCTCTGAACCCCAAACCCGCGACCCGATCAGCTGGGACTTGCCCTGAACAGGTCCTCCGACTCACTTAACACTAGGTGGGAAACTTTAAAATTTCCCTTATGGTTCCTATAGCCTATAGAGTTACCCATTCATTAAAAAAGCTTTTAAAGGGCACCAAAACTACAACCCAGAACAGCGCAGCAAAAGATGAGTGCGGCCGTCAGTGCCAGTCAAACCCACTTTTGTTCCTTAAGCCCTGAACCCCCTGAGACATCCCTACAATCCCGAAATGTCCAAAAGCACCTAAACATATTCTGTCTACGGTAATATCTCTGCAAAGGCCGAGGTTATACTAACTTATATATTAAGGCCTGCCGAAACCCCAAAACCCTGCACGCCCTAAACCCACACCGAACGACCCAGATCGGCTATTGCTGCGAAAAAGCATCTGCCGCAGCCTGGGCTGTATAGGGAACTTTTGTTGTGCTTCTCTATGTCCGCTTCATTTTGTTTTTTTGGTTGTGGGGAAGTTGGGGGGCTTTTGGGATGTGGGGGTTGCATGTCGGATTTATGAGCAGGGCTTTGGGATAACGGTTCAGGCTTTTAGGGCTTGTAAGGTTAGGATTGTGGTTGGTGTTGGCTTCTGTGGTTCCCAATCTTCTGGCCAGATATCCCAAGAACTTTGAAGTCATTTTGTTCAGCCTAAATGGCATGCCCTGGGGGGTTAGATGCAAAAACGACTGCACGGAGGTTGAGCTTTCTTCTGTAGAGCTTTCGGATGTGCTTGAAAAGCTCCATAGTTAAGGTTGGAGCATATCGTAGTTGTTTGGGTTTGGGGTTTAGAGTTCAGTTTGGGTTCTCATTTATCTTGAAGGGGTACGTGTCCCTCAAACTTCGAACGGGAAGCCCAAAGCAGCACTACGGCTCCACACTGTCACAGTAACTTGAATTGAAGCCTTTGATGCTGTGGGGTGGAGAGGTCATGGTGCAACCCTGAACCCTAAACCCGAAGGCCTACACCGTCTAAAGGTTGACATTCAGCATCGTGCGGGTCCTGAGGTCTCCACTCCTGTGCAACTGAAGGGCAGCTAGCAACGTATCTAGCATCCCACCCTAAACCCTAAACCGTATATAGGAGCCCAGAGGATGAGCAGTAGTAGAAAATGTCTCTCAAAACCCCATGATAATCATTCAGGCCCCTATAGCACCAGCCCATCAACCCCAAACTCTAATTCCCAAAACCTTGAACTCCATCCATCCATCCATCCATCCATCCATCCATCCATCCATCCGTCGATGTAGATGTGTACGTATACACGTACATATATGTATGTGTGTGTATGTATATATATATATATTATGTATTTGTGTATTTGTGTATGTATAGTTTGTGCATGCATAGAAGTAATAGTCAACGCATAAGCAACCCCGAGCTGAGTGCAGATTCGTCGGCCGGTTTAGCGAGGCTCACGGCTTGCAGGATCTAGGCCTCTCGGACGGTGGATGGTCCAAGAAAACGACCTTAAGCTTGGGGGTGTATAGTATACGTTTGAACTAGCACATCCATAGTATAGTATACATTTGTAAAGATGGATGGTAATTGGAATGATACCTTCATACTAGGCCTGCAGACCCCGAATCCAAAACCCTAAACCATCCCAAGGCAGGACTTTGCCGCCAGTATTGACGGGAGCCAACTGCTTCGCACCGTTGGGTCGCTGTTGCTTTGCTGCTTCAAGCTTATAAGGCTTAGGGTATAGGGTTGAGGGTTTTGGATATAGCGCTGGATTCTTCGTCCCCCCAAACCCTAAACGTTCAACCGGCTGCAGCCTTTGATACATCAGAGATCTGCTTCGTGCTTTGACCAGACACGGGGTTTTCTCGGCTTCAAGCGGTAGGGCAAGCACAGAATGCCTGTCCCGAGGAAGAACAACAGAATTGAATCCATAATTAGTGGGAGTATCAGAGAATGTGTTGGCACGTTTGTGTGGGCCATTCCATTCCTGCTGTACGGTTTGTCGGGTGTTGATGCTGATTCCCTATAAACCCTAAAGCCTGAAGCTTCAAGCCTAAACCGCTAAACCCTAAAGCCTGGACCCCAAGCAACCAAACCCAATAAACGACCAAACCGGACGCCATCCCGAGACCTCTTCGCCAGCATCCAAGACTAGTTACAAGACCCTACGTGTCAGCAGGTGTGACAAGATTTCGGGTTTCGGATTTCGGCGAACAGTTCGCAGGATTTTTCGAACTTCGAGCTTCGCCATTTTGAAGGCACAAAAAAACCGAAGTCGCAAGCCCCGGGCCCGATCTCACAGCCGGTGATTACCAGAGGCCCATGCAATGATCTCGTCTTGATGCGTGGGATCCCCACCGAGGAAGAATCCATGATTGAAAGCGGTTGCTTTCTGACCCTAAACCCTAAACCCTGTACCCGAAAATCCCCGAAGAGTCTCTCGAGTCTGTTTGGAGCAACCTCAAGAGGCCATGCCCAAGAAACAAAAGCCCCCAAGTCCTGCACTTACATAGCAAGCACGTAATAAACAAGCAGACTTATACATGCCCCAAATTGGGTCCTAAGTAGGGTTATGATACTTATGAGTCCTGAAACTAACCACAAACAAACAAACAAACAAAGAAAGTCTTGTGAGCCTCCAAGTAGCCGAAGAGCCCAGAAGCCGCTGGTGCCGAGTTTGAAGCCTTTTCCCGAATCAAATTTCCAAAAGCCCGGAGCCCAAAACCCTAAAACCTAACCCCTAAAATCCTATAAAGCTTATAAACCCTATAAACCCCTATAAACCCTAAACCCTAACCACCTTTCCCCAAAGCCTGACTAGAAGTCTTTGGACCTCAATTATCGGGTTTGGGGCTGGAGGTCTGTGGATTCGGATACGTGCCGCTCCTGAAATGTATCGGCCGTTCTTAGCAGTGGACTGAGGGGTCAAGCCTGGAGGTAAATGGTTGGGAGGGTTACACTATCCGAGCCCGTCCTGAGCAAAACGCTTCAGACCCCGAAACCGAAATCGTCAATCCCTACGTGCGGCTGAACCTGACAACCTCGCCCGATTTCGGGGCTCAGAATGTCTTGTAAGCTTCAATCGCCCAGAGCTCATATAGTAACAGTCTAGGTAACGCTTACTGCTGCATGATCTCTGAAAGCCGATTGTCCTGAACCCGGGATGCTCTCAACCCAGGTTCCTGCTATTGCTTATCAGCGTCTTTGCGTCCATACTGGCTCCTTTTCAGTGCAACCTTCATCCCAACGGACGTCACCTGGCCTGCATTCTCCTTGCCAGTGATGGCAGAGGGCGTATCAGTAGTCGTCGTTGTCGTCGCAGACGCAAGTTTGTGGGCTCAGGGTGCCGGTTCATCTGAAATTCGGCCATGCCCCTCGCATGTTCACTTCCGCCCACGAAGGTCTGACTGTGCAAGAGTATGACTCAGTTTTCTGCAGTGGCAAGGACCGCTGAGGGGTTCGGGAGCGGATGGCTCGTTTGATCTAGAGGGCTGGCACTGCGTCTCCCCCCACGCAAATCAGGGTTCGGGTTCCACTAAATGCTGCTTTTTCGGTTTATTGAAGTTTATTGTTTAGAGAAATGAAACAAAAGCGTGCTCCAATTAGGTCCAATGTGGTACCTGTAAGTTCGTTTGTGGCTTTAGGCTTGCTGCTTCGAAGGAAGCGAAAGAAGCCAACGTTGTAAGAAAGAGAAACACCACATTTCTCACTTTACCAGAGAAGTGAGTGTAGTGATTTCGGTACTATACTCACCAAAGAGGAAGCAAAGAGGCTGCTTCAAACTTCGGGCGCTCATATCTTAAAACCGGCCTCTTATCATAGTGATATGCTATCTACCCTCCACCTGCTCACCGCAGGTGTCGGCACCTTAGGAAGAAGACCCGCTCGCCTTAGCAGACTCAAAAGTCGATCCCGGTCACTCTGGCTCGGAGAGAGCTCTAAGGGCTAAGGGCTCCTCAGATGCTGGTGGGGTCGGAGGTGTTCAGCCACAGAGCCACTTTCAAGAAGACTGGACACAAGCCCCAAGGATATAAGCCTTATAAACCCTAAACCTTAAACCAGCTTGGCGTGTAGAGTGTAGGGTTTACCGTCCGGGAGCAGGCAAGGGTGTGTGTGGCCTAGACCTTAGGATGAAGGGAGACACGGTTTAGGGTTTAGGGTTCCTAGACCCTAAACCCCTAAACCCCTGAACCCCAAACTCCTAAACCCTAAACCCAAAGCCCCTGATGAGGACGAACATCAACAGATGAGCATCATCGGCGGACTGGCAGCCTTGATGCCGCTGTTCTTCGTCGCCCTTTGCATTCGGGTGCCTCGGAGTCTGACCTTCACACCTCAGCCGACGATGTACACAGGAAGTCGACTGTTCTGTTGATTGATTCTCACTGCTTTGGGGAGGATGCTACAAAGGTGTGCTAGGGTCTATCAGCCAGGTTCTACTGTTTGATGCGGTGTTGCAGCTCGTGTAACGAGATACCTTCTGTTGCCTTCTGTTGCTTCCTTCCGGATCCGAAGCGAAGCCCTGAATGTGTCTGCCGCCCGAACTGACCGGTCAGCGCTGCGGACATTCCGCATCAGTTCAGCAAAACTGAAGCACAACAGCCTCATGTTAACGTCCTTCCTGCTCGCTACAGTAATCCTACTTATGCCGCCCTTCATCCGAAACCCCTTGACTGAAGGCTACATGGGTCGAGCTCCCAAAGCGCTTGCTGCGCGCTGATGCCAAATTCGTTCGGTCCTGCCGCTTGGAGATCTTGATCAGGGGCCAACAAACTCTGCAAAGCTGAAGTTTGAACTTGGTTTCTTATTCTGTCAGTGCAGATTGCAAGGACCTAAATGCTGACGAGGGTTCGGCGTTCTGGGTCACGTGTGTATGAGTTTGTAGTGGTGTGGGCCATCTGAGTCTGACCCTACCCCAAAAGTACGAATCACAGATGGTAGTTTTGGATTACTTCTCTTGATGTCCATGTTGCAGTGTTGTTTCGTGTTTTGTTGTGCTTTTGCGGCCGCATAGCCATCCCCTGGCGTAAAGGCTGCACCTGACCACACACATGTATGCATGTCGTGCCCAACGAGTGTTTGTAGAGTGAGGACGGGAAACCATCGCTGACATGCGTAGGTGGACAACCCGATTCGCATTCGGGATTTATGATGGAGAGTCGTGGACATGAATGTTTCGGTTGTTCAGGGTGCCGTTCAACTCAGTAAACACAGCACCCGAAATCCGTCAGTTCGACATTATTGAACCCTGGACGGGTTCCTGAATGCAGACAGCCAGACCAAGGCTCGTTTCTTTGGCGACGTTTTCGCCCTGGTGCAGCTGCTCAGTTTCCAACTTCAGCTCCGGACATCGGATAGTGGGCCCCATATATATATATATACATATACACACACACACACATACATACATACATACATACATACATACATACATACATAGGTACACACAAAGATTTGTGTTTTTGTCTAAAGGGCTTCCTATTAGTATTATTATAATTGTGGTAGAACATACCCCCCAAAGCCCTATTCTAATCTTCCAGTGAGGCCCCTATACCAGTGTTTTGTAGGTTTATCACACAAAATTCCAAAGCCCCTAAACGGAATCTATCGAAATCCACCACCCTGGCAGTGACGTTTTCTCCTGTAAAGTTTATGTCCAGGCGTGTAGATGGTCTCTACTTATTTGGTTGAGATAGGTTGTCGTTAAAGCGCTGCCATTGTTTAGATCTTTGAACGGGTCTGGGTGCCTAGATTTCTTATACTACGGCTATCTATGGGGACGGAGCTACTCTACGGGGAACTCAGCATTTAGGGTTGTAAGGCTTGTCTTTAAGGTTCGGGATGTAGCTTCTAAGCCCTAAAGCCCTAAAATCCTACAGCTCCACAGCCCAAACCCTGAAACCCCCAAACTCTTTGTTAAGCCCCCAGCCTGCAATTTTGGGCCGGTTTGAGGCCTCTGCCGTCGGCCATCACCATTGCATCCTGCAGCCGATCATGTACCAATGTACCGTAAGGGTCCAAGCACCCAAAATACTACGGCTGATGAAATAGATCCTGCAATACCCATAGTAAGGAATTTACCATGATTCCCAGAGTTTGGTGCCCTTAAGGTAATGCAGGGTTTATATCATCAACAGTAGGGTTTTTCAGGCTCAGAAGCTATCCTCTGAATGGTTGGCTTTGTACCGAAAACACTTGGACTTGGACCCCCTAGGGGTAGTGGACTTCGGAAGGCACAACTTCCTGCATATCCGATCATACATCGAAGATCGTCTCTTTTGGAGTCCGGCAGGAGCCTTTAGCGCTAAACCATGTAGAGCCACGGGTTAGGGTCTAGGTTTAGGGTCGGTCCACCGGCACTCTCTCTCTCTCTCTCTCTCGCGCTCTCTCTGTGCCTGCCTGCGAAATTCAAGACTCGAAGCATTGCACCGTTTAGGGTTTATAGGGTTTAGGATTGCACCTAAGACTGTACATCTTGGACCCCGCACCCTACGCCATTGCACCCAGTCCGGAAATTTTGGACCCCCGACGAGGCCCGAAAACCCAAAACCCTAACCCTCAACACCAGCCCGCGACCCTAAAATGCGACATTTTTAAACCCCTGCACACCTCGGAAACCGAGAGCCCGCAGATGATGCTTCAGCCCAGGAGACGTTTGCTGTGCTTGGCCTCGCTCGAGCTTCGGAAGAATCACACTCCTCACCATCATACTCATCATTATCAACAACTTAAACCCTATACCTTACCCCGAAACCCCTACACCCTAAATCCCGACGGGTGTTCGAGCACCGCACTGTAGTGTTCTATAATTGGGGGGGGGGGGGGGGGGGGCCCTTAAATTCAGGCGATGACCACGGGGTTTGAGAGGGTCACGTGCGTGCTGCATTATGGTTTAGAGTTTAGGGTTTAGGGATGCTTAGGGTTTAGGGCTCAGGGTTTAGGGATGTTTAGGGTTTAGGGGGCCTGCAGTTGTTTTCGGTTTACGCTGCGGGGGAAATCTGAAAACAAACTTGTGCTTGCGTCGTGTGCCCCTCGGCCATTAGCGACCGCCCTGGGAACATGGTAGCCTTGATGCCAATCCTAAAGCCTTTCAAAGGCAGTTGTGGTGGTTCTACTCCTCGGATGATAAACCCTGATCCTGGTGATGATGGTGCTGATGCCGTCGTGGAGGGATAACTATTGTCGCTCGACAATCAGGATGAGCACTCTTGGTGACGATGAAGTGTTCATGAAATGATGAAGAAGACGACAACGATAATGACGATGGTCAGTCTGCTGAAGATGGTGAGTGACGACGATACAGAAGGCTAAACTGACTGCGGCTGTGATGGCTACGACAGTAGTGCTAGGGGCACCGGACTCGCATTCTGCATGAGGCTACATTCCTGAACCCCGTACATGCTGAACCTTAAACCCTAAACCCGAAAGGAAAAACATGCCAGCTTACTCATTACTGTCTCCCATCCAACACCCCCAATGGCCCAAAACCAGAACCGATCAAGCTCTCGATGCTGATGGTTTGGCGGTCTGGGATTTTTTTTGCCCTAAACCCTAAACCCTAAACCCTAAACCCTACCCCCTAAACCTGAACCCTAAACCGTTGAGGTGGATACCTTCAGCTTCTCCAGCCAGAACCTGGCAGAGTCCTCTGAGCCTCCGGCAGGATGGAACGCTGACGGGCTTCGGGCTTTCAGGCAATAGGCTCAGGACATAGTTTAGAATAGTGGTTTAGAGTTTAAACTTTAGGGTTTAGGGGTTTAGGGGTTTAGGCCTTAGGGGTTTAGGGTTTAGGGGTAAGTCCGCAGCAAGGGTTGAAGCCGCTAGGATTCGGGGGTAGGGTTTATAGGACGCACGAACGGGGTGTAGCTGTTTTTTTTCAGAGGAGGCTAGCCAGAAAGAGCTCGCACTGTGGATCGCTTCGAAAGGAATGGGTGAGGCATCAAAAAAAACTAAATAGACATCAAAAAAACTAGACCGGAGAATCAAAAAAAAACTAAAATAAGCATCAAA